CGAAAACGATGACTGCGGCGATGACTTTGAAGTTGTTCGTGCAGACAGACTGAATACCTTGGATCCTAGAGACTTTGTCCCAGTTTTCGTGACCTGCGTCATCGAAAGTATCCGACTGTCAATGATGATGCTTGAACATCCGCGAACTACGTTCTATTCTTATTGCAGTGAGTCTGGCGAGATTAAGCGTGAAAGCTTTCAAGTCACCAGAATCCTAAATAAACGGATGTACCTGATCGACCAAGCAAAGAAAGCCAGGTATGAAGCGCTTGTTTGCCATTGGTTTAAACTTGCTTCTAACTTTACAGTGATCTACCTGTAATAACCTGATCTACCTATAATAACCTGTGATCTACCTGTAATAACCTAATTTTTTTCTAACTTTATCTTACCTGTCCAAATCTGGTTAATAGAAGAGATCGTACTTGTTTGTGACTTTATCTTCTATCTATTCCTTCTGAACTCATGATCAAATTTTTCTATTTTTTCATTAAAATTGTTACTGACGACATGTCGTTGGCTGCAAAAATAGTTTCTGAATGAATGATAGGTTGATATTGTTGGCATCTTCGACCTTAATGCCCAACCAGTTGTTGCCTCTGGCAGTAATCCAACCTCTGAGGAATGACGGTCATAGTTTCAGTTGATTCTGATTTGGAAGATTTTGCAATAGTTCACCACGATGACCAGGCCAATGTTGCTTTTCCCACTTAACCGGATATATTTCTCAACTTTTCACTTACTCGCAGAATCTGCCGCAGCCTGTATACTCAGATGTACATCGTCCTGAGAACCCGTTGTCTCTTCCTCCCGCTGCCAGATTTTGGAAGTAGGATAAATTTTATGATGATAAACAACTTTAAAGATCTGTATAAAATATGTATTTTTACTGGTTAATCGTAGCTTTATTGTCACCTACGATAAATACGTAATAAACATGTATTTTCACATGTTTAATCCCGGCCACGACCGTATTTGAAGCTGAACTTTCAAGTATTATGATGGATATTACATTAAAAATCATGATTCCGGATTGAAACGGCGAAAATACACAGTGTAAGGAAAGAAAAAATCTATTTCTCCCTTTACACCAGGAGCTCTACTGTACCTCCCACTTGCTTCTAGACGCCTAGTGGGACCATTTAAGCAGGCCACGGCTCCATGGTTTTAAAGTACTGCAGTGCATAGAACGCAGGACAAGGTCTGATACATGAGTTGTACAAGGTATGTTAAACCAAAGAATGACGAAATGGAACCCCGATGTTCTGGGAGAGCTTTCCATACCGCTGCTGAATATATCACATTAAAACTGTTGATACCGGATTGAAAGCTCTCCCAGAACATCGGGGTTCCATTTCGTCATTCTTTAGCCTACGGATCATAGCAATGTTCCTTGGTTGAACCTACCTTGCTCAACTCATGTTTGAGACGCAGTCCTGCGTTCTATGCACCGCAGGCGCTTAAATACCATGGAACCTTAGTCTTCTTAAATGGTCCCACCAAGAATCTAGAAGCAAGTGAGCGGTGCAGTAGAGCCGCTGGTGTAAAGTGAGAAATAGATTTTTCTTTCTTTGCACCGTATTTTCGTCGTTTCAATCCGGTATCATAATTTTTAATGTGATATATTCAGCGGCGGTATCGAACGCTTTCCCAGAACATCGAATTTCTGACAGATGATCGAAGAAATGATCGAAATTTATGCAGATATATTCGTCAATTCAGGTTATCGACGCTTACATTATAAGCTTATTGCTCATTCCTAAGGTACGGGCAGCGAACAGGTCTGCATGTTTATTTTTATTAAGAGGGATACATATCAACTGTTATTCCAGTCAAGTAAGACATTAGTACTGTAGGCAGGAGCGTTTTTTGACTTTGCTGAAGCTTAAATGATAAAAATAAACAATAGTGCTGAGGTACTCAACGCTTATGCTCTACTTTGATAATGTTTTCTTTCACGTATTTTTCTGCAATTCCATCAGCATTTCTGTGGTCTCAGAGGTATTCGTCATACATTTTTCATCCTCCACCTATATATGTAATCATTAGAGCATCATCAGCATTCGCACTTTAGCATTGTTGGAATCCTTATTGGACCGATGGTCAGTCCGCAGTATATTGAAGTTCACAGGCGCCTGAAAAAATTGTGTCGCGAGGCGATGAAAAAGAGTTACAGTTTTGCGGTCAGTAAGCTGACCGTCGCAAAGTTGGCTAACTTTCCGGACGTTGACCTGTTTGTACACATATCCTGTCCTTATGGAGTCGTTCTGGATTGTTCTGATTTTTACAAGCCAATTATTACGCCGTTTGAGTTCGAACTGGCATGTCGGCCGGATGATCAGTGGATGGCCGAGATGAAGCTGTTGTCTGACTGTGCCCACGTTGCAGACGGTAATCAAAAAAGTTTATTGTTGCTTCACAGGCCTCGAGAAAACATTCTATTTTAGCCTTTAATAAGGAATCAAGTATGGAAGCTTTTTGCGCTACAGAACCTCCGATGACAAGCGAATCCTCGAAGAATCCTCAAGGCATCAGTACCGTGATGCTAAAATGCAATGATCTGTCGATTAAAACGACTTCAGCAGGTGAGTTATGCGCCTTTGTTGAATAATTAGTTTTTTCGATCTCGCTTTCCTTCTAGATGTTCCAACGACTGTGCGCGTCATCTAGTAGCTTACAGAACTTAACTTCTGTTTATGAAGTTACAGTTCGTTGAGAATGCGGAATTTCGATTCGCTTTGGAACTAATCGCATTGCGCTTTCGCTTCCTTTCATTTTGCTTTAAGTGTACTCTATTTGTCTGTCGATCATTTAATATCATCGCCTCCACAGCGTTTACCTGTCCTTATTCGTGTGCACTCTTTTTAATTAAATGTGCTAAGTTTTTTGACCTTAGTTTCTCCGGAGTTTGGGAACAAATCATTGCCGTCTTAAAGACGCAGAAAGCTAAAATTTTAAATTGTTTTCTGATAACTGCATTGCGTAATTTCAGAGGACCGATTCAAGCATAGGGCCTGGAAAGGATTGCAAGAAAATCTTGGCGAAAATCCTATAGCAACTGTTAAAGACGGTCGTAGAGGTATTGCGATGGCTTATGAAAACGAATCTTTTCAGTCAACGTGAAACCTGGAGAGTTTGTTCAAGTGTGCTTTTCTGCTGTTTTTCGTTATTATTTTTTATTAAAACATTCTTTCACTTGTTTCTTATTTAATTTTTGAGCGCGGTGGTGCAGTGTCAAAGAGATCGACTTCGAACTCAGAGTTAGGGTGGAATCCTGAAAAAGACAAAACTGGTGACAATAATCGCTAATTTGTTGAGTAAGGAATCACCCATGCTGCTTCGATGCATATAGCCAAGAAACTGGTGCTGGGTTGGCTTTTCGAACTAGAATATCATGATGTTCTGATGTGGTCATACAGGAATTAGCCAGAGGAATGACCATGCTGCATGATGCGAACGCCTCATAGGGCTGCAGTTCACTCTGACCCATCTGATAGCTGATTATTCAATGTGATAATCAGCAGAAAGTGTAATCCCTGTTGTAAACTTCATCTGCCCTGTTTGGTTTCTGTCACATCACCACGCTAATGGATTGATATTATTATCAGAAAAGTTGACTTTGAATTAAATTGGAGAAAAGGTTGATTGTTGGATACTCGATGTTTGAATACATGAGGCAAAATACCGTATCGGTTGCTTGTATTGTATGCGTTGTCTGATGAAGAAAAAATTTATGAATAATGTATGTTATTCCTCGCTTCTCTATCGTGCAATACAAACTCGCAGTGGTTGTGTTCTCATTGCATTTATGATGAAAACAGACCAGATGACTGTCGTTTAACAGTTTATTTGAATATCTACCTGACGGCCGCGAAAAAGATATGAAACAGTAAAATCATTAAAGCTCCAGCGATCAGGTTGACTCAGATCGGTAATGCCGGTTAAGCATCAGTTCTGGCTTCGTCACAATACAACACGCGAAGTGATATCAGACAGAATTTTTATGCGACAAATTATTCATAAAGATAAAAATTATGCACAAGAACAGGACTAAACATTTGCGAATAGAATGTCAGTTAATTGGGAAAGCTGTTTACCGTCTAAGTAGGTGAAGAAAGAACGCTGGTGCTTGTAATGCAACCAGAGTACTTTTGAATATAATATTTATGCGCTGATAATTATGCTAACAATGCAATACGTCTATGAGAGCATAGCTCGAAAGGGAGCAGCCACGAATATTTTTACTTAAAGTAATGAGGAGGAATTTACCATTCAGTATTTCTGCGTTGAAAGTGAGTTCGTCTCATGCCACTACAAATGCATAACTCGCTAAAATGACAGCTGTAAAGTGAGATATTTTGAGAACCCGCACATAGCGAACTCGACGCATAAAGAAGCGGGAAACGGCTTAAATACTTAGTTCAGCACGACTCGTGCAGCTGCGTCGCAATAGATGCATCACTCAATTCCGTAATTTCTTGCCTGTTAGAATATTTAACCTATTAGTCAATTGTGTGAAATTTCTGTTATCACAATCGTTCTACAAAATTGACCTATCAATCCCATAGCACCTGAAACTCATATTCCAATCGGGGGAAAGGCTAATTGACTACGTTTGATTTCAAATATGGATCGGTCGCCACGCTGAAATGTTAATTTGCAGCTATTATTGGTTCAGATTCAAGATTAATCATTTCTCGATTCCGCAATAAAGAGCCTAAACAGTTTAGTTATTATTAACGCAACAAACCTTTATTGGCTCTGTTTTAAATTCAGCGGTCAGATCTCATAGAAATTTCCCTTAAGGGCATGATTATTACGTCTAAAACGCAAATAGCCAAACTTGTATAGTCATTGCGTTTTGTACCTGAAATATTGTGCCCTATGTAACGTTTATCTGCACGGACAAAAAAGCACACAAAAACCAAAATACTGCTAGCCACCGATTCAGGCAATCAAAATCCTGATACCAACTGAAGTCATCGTCCATGAGAAAAGTACCATAAACCGACATTGACCATACTAGTACCTTGCTACCTACAAAAGCAAATCGCCATTTTCTTCTTCTATACCAGGTCAACAGCGGTTCTGCACACTCTGATTTGGTAGGGCATTCTTTTAGCTGCAGTTGAAATGTCTTTCGAAAATGAGTAAGGCTTTGTGAACTTTGATTCGACAGCAGTACATAGATCTTATGGATATTTTTCTGACAAAGTGCCAATACTGCTAATGAAACAATGTGACATGAACA